CGCCTAAAGCGAGCGAGCCAAGGCCAGTGGCGTTTTCACTGTCACTTCCGGTGTGACAGTTAAAAAACAAGACGTGGAACCCAAATGCAAGTAAAATTCTTTAATGCTTAACTTAAACAAAACAGGGAAAATGGTGAGTGGCTGGAAGTAAAGAAACTATAGGAGTAATCATCAACAGAGCAGATCAAACATTCGTCGTAGAAGAAACAGCAATGTCTCTGATGTACTCCTCAACAGAGCAGATCAAACACTCATCGTAGAAGGAGCAGGGATCATCAGAGACAGCAACAAGGAAATCAACCAAACCACTCACCACCAGCGATCTCAACGGGAGGAGCCTGACAAAAACACAAAGGATCGTGAGCAAACAATGAACTGACAAAGTGAGACAGGAACACTGAACATTTATAGGCACATAAAATGCGCTACACCTGTAGCGCGCTGATTATCAGCCGAGCGCGCTACGCAACAGTTCTGGTAACAAAGATCATGTGACCGCTCAGCTGATGACATGAAAACAAACATCCACTGGCAGCCACGTGACACCCACACAAACACAGAGAGAAAAAGCACACATACTTAGAAACACGTATCATGATAATGAACTGTCACACAATGCAGACACTTCAAATAAGGAGCAGATGGATCCACAACTGTGACATCCGCGGCCTAATCGGGCCAAAGCAGGCCTTTCTTGGGGCCAGCGGCCGGCCTTTTTCGGCCCGCCAAATACCTTGGGCCAAGGAGGGCCAGCTGGGGCTTCGGGGCGGAGTGAAAGGAGAGGCGGGAAGTTTTCTGATCGCACATGAGCACATGCCCCAAACAAATAAATAAATAAATAAGGGAAAGAAAACATCTAGCCTTATAGTCTGGGGTCTTTTTGCGTATGATCACCCTTATGTTTCCCTTTTAAATGTAAGGCTGCTGCATAAAATAATATAGTAGTTTTAATTTATAGTGACATTCTTTGCTGCGTCCTCCTTTATGTTTCAATAACACAATAATCATTACACCATATTAAAAACACAGCAGACAATAAAGGTTTTCGAGAGTTATTGTCAAGTTTAAAAGGTGTGTTTGTGCACGTTTAAATGCCTGTATGTGTGTGTGAGACCGGGCAAGAGCACTCGCTTCACAACTCTGTTGATGCTGCGAGCCGGCAGATATTGAGATAATTCACAATATAAATACAACAGAAAGACATAAAACTTAACAAATTACGTCCCCACTTTCGTAGACTTTAAACAATATAGTGTCATTTCTTGATAAAATAGCCTAAGATATATTAAAATATAATTTAAAGAATTACAAATATCGGATATATATAAAATCGCATTAAATAAATAAACCAATATAAAATAAACAAAATCTAGCTATAACAATGTAGGTAGCCTATATACAATACATAAATTAAACCGTTTTAAAGCCACATATAGCCTAACTTTCATTTTAAAAAGACCTATCAAAAAAAAAAAAAAACGATTTTAGAGATTTTCTAAAAACAATAAACACCGGAGAAGGTTTGAAATATTATTTATAAAGTATTTGGATAAGATGATATTAATCAAATCGCGCATACATAGCATTATTTGGGTGAGTGAATGCAGAATCTAGCCTTCCTTTTTTTTTTCTGTCACCCAGTCATGTGCAGCGCAGCTTTAAACGCATTAAGGGAAAGCCCACACACAAAATGTGTTCTATATCCTCAAACAAGGGTTTATGTTTTTATATGATGTGGTCAAATTTATAAATGAAACTTTAAATGAAGAGCTTTAGTAAATAGCTGCCGAGCGGAACAAATATGGCTATATTTTATTAGGCTACTTGCTCTTGTGCCGGAAACACTTAACGCGACGTCTATCAAAACAAGGATGTTATAAAATACATGCCATATCGAGTTATAAAGAAGAATTTCTGTGGCTTTATATTATGGACGGGTGCACTCACTGTGATGGGTCCGTTAGTGGCGAGAGCACTCGATGCACAATGCCAACAGTCGGTCGGCGAGTAAACAAATGTGATGAATGGAAATACACTGGTCTGTGCTTATAGACATATAATGTACTGCAGTACAGTAACAGGTCATTTGTTTGTTTCGGTTGTCTTCATTTTAATGGTTTCGTTTCGTGATGATTCTATGGTGTGCTTTATCTGCCTCATTCCCGCTGAAGTGGGCAGGTTGTGTGACGAGCTGTGAGCTACTAGACAGACAGTGGAAACGCGACATGATTTCGCCCTGGCTCGCACTGGCCCAATAGTGGAAATGCGGCTACTTATATTAAAGGGCCACGAAACCCTCTCTTTTCACACCTCTAGTTTGCTAGTTTGGAAAAAGTCAGGAAAGTGGGTGTGTTCAGCTCTGTTCAGGTAGGAGTGTCTGGGGAGGGAAAGAGGGAAGATTTTACATAAAAATGTGAGTTTCCAATTAGGCATGCACTGATTTTCACAGAGGCAAAACAAACAAACAGACACAGAGGAGAAAGACAGTGACTGTGTTAACATAAAAATCAGTTATAGAATAATTTGCCAAATTATTAACTTGTCGACTTTAACTGCAGTTTGGCACTTTCACTTTCGTTCAGAAGCATTTTGTGCATGCCTCCCATGACAAACAAGATATTAGATGCGAGGATGAACGGCTGGAGAGTGTAGTTTTAATGGAATGATACTGCATGGCGAATGGGAGAAAATAAAACTCTGCATTTCTCGGTAACTTAGATGCACTCGTTAGGTAGCGTCAGAAAGCTGCGTGTGTATAAACTATTCTGTCATAAAATGTGGTGAAAATCCTACATGACCGTAATGGTTTGATTGCGGTGTTTACATGTTTACACTTGGAAAGCAGCAGCAGATCTTTCAGTCAATAATATTGTGGTGTTATTAACGTACTATAAACTTAGTAACTTAATAATTTTGACTAAGGTGTGTCTTTAAAAACTGAAAGAGTACTGCTGACGATACAAACTAACTTTGCCATCTGAATGAACAAACAAAAGGCAATGATCACACACACTTACCAAATCTGTAGAGACAGCACAATCAACACAGTCCAGCTGCACTCTCATAGCGGGGGAATTACAATAAAACCTTCGTTGCAGCACATACATAAACACAACACTGATGACCTACATCTCCAAATTCTTGTTCTTCCATTTGTTTTGGCAACACAATGTGGCGTCTCTTTGCCGTCTGAACTCTGTAACAGGTAAAAACAGTCTTCGAGCTATCGTGCATATTAATGAAAATACAAAATAGAGCTTGCTAATTGGTTTGAACCAAGTCTTACTCATGAATTAATGCTGTACACTAAGAAACGTCACGATGCACTCGCAGGTACAGACGCCCAGTTTCCACACTGGAATGCACACAAGTTACTAATAGCTGTGATGCAGTTTCAAAAATTTGTTTAAAATCGGAAGAACGAATTTGCTTAAAATATTGAAAAAACAAACAATTTTCACTTTTTAATAAATTATATGTTTCCCAATAGTGTTTATTGCCATATGGGACACATATATGACTGTCAACAGCTCAAAAAAGTGGTTTGGTGTTTCGTGACCTTCCTTTAATATACCCTAGGATTCTTGACTTTATTTTTATTTTTTTTTTGTTTGACCGCTAGAGCCAAGGTACACATTAAGTTATGTAGTTTAAAGCACATGTAGGTTATTATAAAATTTTGTTCAGATGTTTTTTTTATAAGGTGACAACAGAAATTAATAGGCTTTTAAATTATGTAAGAAGATGGTTTTCTAGAGCTGGGCTCTGTAGTCAAAACAGCTTACACTTAGAAATTAAGTCAGTAAAGCATCTGAATATTGCCAACACTGGTTTGACCTGCAACCAGATTCTCACTGCTGTTGAATGAATGTAACTGTGAGTTATTTTGCTGTCACTGACTCATAAAATATCCGCCTCTTTTGTTGCCAAAGGGAGGAGAAAAAGGCTATTTATCAAAAAAAAAAAAAAAAAACACCAGAGAGAACATTCTTTATTAAGCATTGAGCAGAATTCAAGAAGATAGAAACCTGTGAAGTACTGCAACATTGTAGCTCTGGGAATAAATGTTCACATTCTTTTGACTATTTTATCCAAACTTGGAGAATTTATGGAAATGGAGAAGACAGTGGATGAGCTCTGGACTGGATGAATGGATATCACAGTTCTGTGGAAACCAGAACTAATGTGGCATCCCTGGCGCTTGCAGTAGATTTGAATACAAATTGAGGCTAATTATCTCTCTTTCCTGCTCAGAAGATTTGGACTCAACAATACAAGATGGCTGAAGGCCAGAAGATTGAGAAGAATACCCAGGAAAAAAGACAGTGCTTTCTGTACATAAAGCTCAGACAGAAGTGTAATAACATTATAATTGATTGTACTTACAAACAGAAGCATGCCGAAAATAATCAACCCCAAACAATAGTTTGTCTAAAGGCTTTTTTTATTCTTATGGCATGCTGATGACATTTGCATTTGTATTCATCATCTTCTCATTCTTAGATGCTTTCAACATTTGCAAGTTTTTTTTTCCAAGTTTGGAAACTGGTGGCCATTGACTTCAATTGTAAGAAAAATAAATACTATGGCAGTCAATGGCCTAAACCAAAACTCACAAAGATTTTAAGCAAGGTGAGGCTGAGTAAATAATTTCAGATTTGTGTGTGTGTGTGTGTGTGTGTGTGTGTGTGTGTGTGTGTGTGTGTGTGTGTGTGTGTGTGTGTGTGTGTGTGTGCGCGCATTTGAGAAAAACTGTATAATGTCATAGGTATGTTATCACAAGAAGGTGGTGAAATATGAGGGCATTGCTGATGTCCTCATTTTTCAAAAATCTTATAAATCACACAGAAAAAGTTAATTTTTTTTCCCCCAGAAAAGTTAAACAGTTTTTACAGTGTAAAAACAATGGAAACCATTCACCACAATTTACAAAAACAAACGTGTGAGTGTGTGAATATGAATATTAGTCAATGGATAATTCAAATGTATTTGATTTACAGATTGACCACTTTGGCTTTTTGGAGAATGGCACGTTTAAGCAGAGGTATCTCCTCAATGACCAGCATTGGCACAAGGATGGAGGCCCAATCCTGTTCTACACAGGCAATGAAGGGGACATCACATGGTTCTGTAACAACACTGTAAATATGCATTTTTAACTAAACTTTGTAATGAAATTATGTGATATATAAATTGTGTTTATGGGCCTGGAGCTGCAGAGGTTACAGTAAACATGACCTGTTGCAAAATGATCTAGATGAGGACACACTCCTAACAATAAAGATGATGCACCAAGGGAAGTGGAAAATGAATGAGGAGCTGTTTGTTTCATTGTTGTCTGAGTTGTATGATAAACACTAAGTGTAGGATGGTTCACAAAACTGTTGGTTCAGTTTGTCGGTTTACATTGTAAAAAAAATACCTCCTATATTAACACTTGTTGATTAATGGTAATGATGGCAACATGTTAATTTTGCTCCTGTCATTTAAAATTTTTTAACCATTGTGTAATTTCACTTTTGACTCAAACTTAGCAATGACATAAATCACTATACACGTAAAGTCAAATAGAATTTTACTGCCATTCCACGTCAGCAATCTTGTGACTTGTGCTGTGCAGATCTGTTCAGTTGTATTGAGTCCAGTTTATTTTCCAGTGAACATACATTTGAGTGTTGGAAGTGCCTGACTGGCGGTATTAACCCTAAGCTTAGCTCATATACATCTGTGCTTACCGTGTTTCTGACCTATCTCACACCGATTAAGGCACTGCCTTGTGCTGGTAGCATTTTTTTTGGTTGAGGTCTTGGGCTCGAGGTCAGGTTTCTGTAGTAAACAAAGGTCTCATTCCTTCTCAATGGTCACTGTTGAGATTTTGTGATGATATACATGATTATGAAATATACAGGCATCACCACTTCAGTGAAGCTAAACAATGTTAATTAACTTCATATTTTTACAAAAAATTTAAGTTCTATTTCTCTGCCTCCTTGTCCTAAGGGTTTCATGTGGGATGTAGCAGAGGAGCTGGGAGCTTTGCTGGTTTTTGCTGAACATCGCTACTACGGAGAGTCTCTGCCTTTTGGAGAGGAGTCATACAGCGTAAGTCAAGACTCCTTGTTGTGGCGAGAATCATGGATCATATTTTTGATACCATCCTTTGCCATCTGAATTGTCTTTATTTTCTTTCAGAACGCCAAGTATCTGAACTACCTGACATCAGAACAGGTTTTAGCTGACTTTGCAGTGCTCATCAAAGCTCTTAAAAAAAGCCAGCCTGGCGCTGAGAAGAGTTCAGTTATCGCAATAGGCGGCTCCTATGGAGGGATGCTAGCAGCCTGGCTGAGGATGAAGTATCCCAATGCTGTTGTAGGGTGAGTAATTGCTACGCTAATATGTTGAATACTATATATACACTATACATTCAGTGAAATATTATAAAAAAAACTTTTACTGATTTGCTGTGTTTTCAATTGTTTTTTATTTTATTTTTATTTTTGTGACACAAAGCTATCAATATTTAGTGTCAGAAACACAATTTTTACTATTAATACTGAAAACAGTGTTGCTGTCAAAACTGATACTTCATCATTATTCGATAAATTGAACAGCATTTACACTGTATGAAAAAGAACATTACTACTTCAACTCTTAATAATAATAATAATAATAGTATTAATATTAAATCTGAATAGCTGAATTAAAGCTTTTTTAGTTTCATGCCATTCAATCATTGTTTGTACAGTAGTGCGATGTTTGCCCAAGGCGGATTTATTGTTTTTTTTTTTTTTTTTATACTTTAATGTTTTAGATTATCAAACAAATTTAAATATTAGTCAAAGATAACACAAAAAAAAAAACGCATCAGAATTTTTTTTAATTAAGGTTTTTATTAATAAGGGAAAAACAAAATCCAAAAATCAGCTTTTTCCATACCACTGTAAATGCAACAAAAATAATAATAATTCCTAGCTATTTAATGCATTTTAATCCATGTATGATGGTATGTCTTACTTGTTACAATGTATTTTTACCAGTATTAAGTGGAAGTTAAATCCTGTGTAAATTAACTTTAAATGACTTGAGATGCACTTAAAGGTCACAGTTAGTATAGTATATATTTAAATGTAAGATTTCTTATTAAAATTGCATAAGTACAATATATAATTTAAAGTGTCACTAGGTGCATGTAAACTAAAATGCCTAAATGCAGTGTGTAACCATGTGTCTAATTAAGGACTGGGATGTGATTCAGTAGGGGGCTTCATGATAATTGTTTAATTCTTCTACTGTGAAATGAGTTAATCAGTGATTTTGAGCTGGTGTTTTCAGGGCTCTTGCAGCGTCTGCTCCCATCTGGCAATTTATTGTGCCATGTGGAGAGTTTTACCGTGTGGTCACTCGTGACTTCACCATCAGTGGCTCCAACTGCAGCAGCAGCATCAGGAGCTCATGGGCTGCTATTGACAGGCTCTCTGCAACAGGTTAGTAAAGATAGTTTTGCAACTTTCCCATGTTATGAACTCAAAAGTGAAGACCAGGGGCCCATTTCAGAAAGGAGGTTAAGTGAAAACTCAGAGTATTTTAACCCGGAAATGAGAGAAACTCTGGCTTTTCCATTTTAAAATGGCAGGTTTGTCAAACTTGAGAAAGCAGGGTAAGTCAAGCCTGTTTCTGAAAGTGAAGGAGCTTTAACTTAGAGTCAGTTACCGTAGTGACTTACTCTGTGATCCTAACCTGGTCAGGAGCAGGTTTTATTCTCTAAACTTTGATTTTCTGTTGGTCTCATCTTTTTTTAAATCGAAGCGGTATTTTTTTGCCTTAGCCTTACGTTCCCACCTATTTTAATACTCATTTTGGATATGCTAATAAAAAATGATTGACGGAAACATCATGATGCTCATAACTTATAATATGCATAATAATATGCATAATAAAACATATGCATAACTGAGTAGGATAAACTTTTATTTTATAAGAAAAGATGCACATAAAATGCAATGGAAACAATTTTACTGAAAAAATTTCAGTATGTGCAATAAGAAAAGCTTTTTCATATAGATTCTGATGAAAATGTGTGTGACTAGACAAACCAGCAGGCTGAGCACACTGTAGAACATCTGAAATGTTGTTTTGGTCATTCTAAAACTCATTAACCATTTCAGTATTAATGTTATTGTTTAATTATTAATTACCTCGGGAGTGTCAAGAGCGGCTCATGGCATCAAAGGCGCAAGTATGTTCAAAGTTGCCTGAGGCACAAGTATGTTTGTTAAATAAGGAAAAGATTGACCAAGCTTCTTCTACCGCAGTAAATGGTGTTTTTACTGTTGATATTTACCGCCAGTTAATCGGAAAATGATAACTTGGTTCTCTTTGATTTTTTGGATGGAAACACTGCTTCATTTGCACATCTTTTATTCCAGTTTTGCACATAAATTTTAATGATATATTTGGATGGAAACAGCTATTGTCTACAGTACATTTCAGTCACACAAAGATCAAAGTCACATACGAGAGTGGCTTGTCCTTTTTTTTAATAAATAATTAGCTTAAATTCACTGACCTTTGACACGTACTGTAATTAATGGGATTATTACTTGTTCTAAAACTATTTTTTAGTTCTGCTGACATTCTTAATGTCATATCAACCTTTATCACTTGATCAATAATAGAGGGAGACAAGTGCACTTTTAAATCTATTAAAACTGATCAACGTGTATAAAAGTGGAAACAAGTGTAAAAATTGTATAAACGCCACACATAAAATTACTTATTTTATTATACTTAAATATTTAAATACTCTAAATAACGCATGTAAAATAACGCATTAACTTGATCAGCTATGTTTTCCTATGCTAACTCTGTTTTATTAATGCAGTGGTGTTGCTTTTTTAAACATATGGTCATATTTGCTATAATTTAGCATGAGCACATCAAGTGGAGCAAGAAATGCTGATCTCTTTTTTTCAGATGTTGCCATGGTGAATCGTAATATCTGTGCTCCATTGATAATGTCTTTTTATAGTTGTGGTGTGCACGCTAAACTCAACTTAAACTTCTGAAAATGAAAACTCTGAGTTTTTAAACTCTCAGTAAATCAACTCAGAGTTCAAGTTTAAACTCTGAGTTGGTTGAACCTCGTTACTGAGACAGGCCCCAGGAGTCTCTTATTCCATCAGAGAGAGTTCTTTATTGAAAACTTACCTTTGCTGCATTCATGAAGTCATCTCAGATAAGTCTGGCATTCTTATTTAAATAAAGCCACTTAGATATTAAAACATAGAGACTGTGTTCCCTGAACTTCTAGATAAAAAAAAAAAAAAAATTATAGGTAATAATCTAATTGATTTTTATAAAATAAAAACAAAAGATAGTCAAAAGATAACTCAGATTATTGAAAATTGTCACATTATGTAAAACTCTTTTTGTTAAAGATTTGATTTTTTAGAAACCCTTAAGTAGTAATTAACATTTTTTTTGCAACACTCTTGAATTTAAGAAAACATAAGGGCAATGTAATAGTAAAAAATCACCCTTGAAGTGTTTTTATGCAAACACATCTTTAACTAACCAGCAACTTTTTCCCCTTTGGGCATCTTGCTGCAAACCCTCTTGGGCAAACTCTGCCTTTGCTTCCAACACACCAATGCACCAAGGAAACTGCGATAGAGGTCTGATCAGGCCCCGCCAATGACTGTGGAAACACGACTGGCCCAGCCACACACTGGCATGCTCGCTTTAGATGTGACAATGTAAATATGGCTGAGATTATATGTTTAATAGTAATGTTTGAGGGAAGAGCATTTCTTTCAAACTATGTTAACAATTGACTGGAACTACTTGTGCATTAAACAATCTTTTTGCACACCTTTCCAGCCAATCAGAATTTTGACAGACCATGGGATATTTTTGACACTATGGGCTCTTTTATACACCCTGCGCAATTTGGCGTGATTTGTCACTATTTTTAAATCAGCTCAACCCTAGTTTTCACTTTTTGCGACACATTATTTAAATAGCAACTCCATTTTCACCACTTTGTGGAATCATGGGTGTGCTGGTCTAGAAAGAAGGTGTGTTAAGGTGCATTGCTATTTTGAGGATGCCATAGACCAGGGGTCTCAAACTCAATTTACCTGGGGGCCGCAGGAGGCAAAGTCTGATCAATAAGGCATTTCACAAAAAAAAAAAAGTCCTCAAATGTCATTATTAGCAGTTTTAATTATTTCTTCTAAACATTAATAGAACATTGAGTGAAGATAATGAACAGTTCTTCTAAACATGGCATCTTTTGCCTACTTCTTGCTGCCAGAGACTTGACAGTGCTTCTTCTCACAAATCTGAACCACATTTGGCTTTAGAGCGGAAGCAGTTGAGACCCTCAGTATGGCTTGAAGATGATCATCATTAAGTCTAGACCTGTACTTTGACTTATTAAAGTTCAAGGTGGAGAATAACTTCTCACACAAATATGTGCTCCCAAAAAGGCACATGGTCCGCTTGAACATTCGGGAAAGCTCAGGGAAGCTGGGTGGCAATTCTCTCGAAAATTGCCCATGCATGTCTGCTTTTTCACTCATCTCCCTGAACTTGACTTTGAGATCAGAGTTGCATTGCAGGTCAATGAGCTCCATTTGAAGCACAGGAGGAAAAGGGGTCCACAAAAATTTGGAAAGTGGCTCTGTGCGTTTTGAAGTCTGCAAATCTGTGATCAAATTCCTTCTCTAGCTTAAAAATAGCATCAACATATTTCTCACCACTGAATGGTATGCCTGCATCCACAAGTGCCTTGCATGCTGGGAAATGGCAAAGGTTTGTCTGAGAGAGCTGGGATTTCCATAACACAAGTTTTGTGGAGAATGCTCTCACATTGTCATAGGCAGCGCTGACGAGCTGCCCCTGGCCTTGTAACATCTTGTTTAGTATATTCAGCTTATGTGTGATGTCAACAAGAAAAGCTAAGTCCATAAGCCATTTGTGATCACTCAACTCAGAAACAGCCTTCCCATCCTTCTCCATGAAGGCTTTCACTTCTTCTCTCAACTCAAAAAATCTTTTCAGGACATTTCCCCTGCTGAGCCAACGTACCTCGGTGAAATAGAGCACATCTCCATATTCTGACTCCATTTCCTCTAAAAAAGCACGGAAACTCCTGTGCTTTAATCGCCTGGATCTGATTAGGTTTACGCATTTCAAAACAACAGACATCACATTGTCACACGGCAGGCATTTGCTGCAAAGGGCCTGCTGATGGATAATGCAGTGAAGAGCAGTGGCCTCCTCTACACCCTCCTCTTGAAGTTTTTTTTTTAACAAGTGCCACCAGTCCATTTTTCCTCCCTATCATCGATGGCGCTCCGTCGGTTGTTATTCCAACTAACCTCTTCCATGGCAAACCTGCATTCTTAAGGGTATCACACAGATGACGAAATATCTCATTAGCGGTGGTCTGGCCATGCATTGGAATTATTGTGAGCAGCTCCTCCGTCAATTCAAAATTGCAATCAACACCACGGACATAAATTGTGAGCTGAGCAGTGTCTGTTATGTCTGTGCTCTCGTCAAGAGCGACGTCGTATGCATCAAAACATTTGGCTTTCTCACACAGTTGATGATAAATGTCACTTGACATGTCAGAAATGCGCTCTGCCACAGTGTTGGCAGAAAGACTGAGGTTGCTAAACTGACCTTTCTTTTCCGGACAGATAATACTTGCAGCCTGTAACATGCATTTTTTAAACAAACTCTCCTTCTGTGAATGGTTTCCCTGCCTTAGCAATCATCTCACTAACCATGTAACTAGCTGCGACTGATGCAACATTCTCTTTGGTTGATTTCTTGAAGAAATCTTGTTGCCTCAGTAGACATGCTTTAAGACTGGCAACTCGCTTGGCTCTCTCATCCCCCTGATATTTTGCACATTCCTCAGCATGTTTAGTTGAATAATGGTGTTTCAAGTTGTATTCCTTGTGCACTGCAACTTTCTCTGTGCAAACAAGACATGTGGGGATGCCCCTGTGCTCAACAAAGAAATACTGCGTCTCCCACTTTTCCTGAAATTGTCTGTGCTCGTCATCAATCTTTCTCTTCAATGCAGGCTTTGATGAAGTCATGATGGGGGTATGACCAAATCTAATTCTGTAATAAAATCTAATTCTTCTCTGTCTGTTCTAATTCTAATTGATTCCAGGTGTGGCCCACACACAAACTCTCCTGCCGACTGCCGGCCTCTCTTCAATTCAATCTTTTTCTGACTGCTGTGCCAGGGGTCAAGTCCTAGGGAAAAAAGTGGGGGAACTCACTCAAAACTTCCATTCCCTCACCTAAAAAAAAGGCGTATATATGTATAAATAAAACACCCCCACCCCACTCCAGTCACATCAGTCTGTACCAGTCTGTATCTACCTATAATATATAGGCCTATAAGATGCAGGCTGTAGCTAGGTAGGTGGCAGGCTGCAGATATGTAGCTAAGTGGCAGGCAGGGGCAGGAACTAGGGATGCTCAAAATAATCGATTAACCGTTAACCGAAAGGGTGCGTTTGTGACCGATTAATGCTATCAGTTAAACGATTAAAATTATTATTTTATATATTTTTAGTTTGGCTGCATAAGGGGCCGATTGAATGCGCCTTTGCGTTAAGAGGGGCATTTTTTGCACGCGGCTCATCCCAGAGCAGCTTTTTGTGTTGTCAAGACAACTACAGAGAACTTTTAAAGAGCTTGGTTTCCGCTACATTCATTCTTCCATGGCGGGCATCCCGCCACAGCTACATTATGCATTCAAAACATTCAGTTATTGTTGTTGTGGTTTTTAATAGCGGATTATAATCGCTTCAAAACGTACTAAAAGGTAAGTGAATCATAACAGCTCAAACTTTTCTGTAACCGTATAGTGCTGTGCGCTATTGATTAATCCTTTGGGGATTTGTGCTGACTGACCGACAGGTGCGCGATGCGTAAGGCCAGCAAACACGCAGAAGCTTTTAGTTAAGATGAACACAGTTTCTATAGTTATACTTTATTTATAAATAAAGCATGACTCTGCATATAATCACTCTATCTTGCTGGAGTTTATAGCCGTTTCGCTTTACTTCAGGACACATTAATGCCACTCTGAAGCTTTAATCGCTGTTTTAAGTTATCCAGAGCTGTATGAATGTAAAAATCTTGAATATCACAATATTATTAAATATTACAATTTTATCAACATATACAGCAACACTTTTGCGCAATCAATACCCAGCTGATTCAGTCGTTTCATTAGAGGACCGGCCGCGCTTCTTCTCTTCTTTTTTCCTTGTCAACATATAAAGGCAGGTGCGCCTCGCGTTTTTGGAATGAAAAAAGCACATTAGCTGTGGTCAGCCACTTGTTCAACTGCAAGACATACTTAACTTGCGGGACGATAACGTATAACCCATGCCTACAGACACATTTGCCAAAGAAGCAAAATGGAAGAAGAATATTGCTTGAAACGGACGTGTTGATGCCAAAAAAAACTCTGATGTTGACCTGGATCTGTATCATAAACGCAACAAATAGGCTTTACCTTTTATTTTACAGCATATAAAGCATGTATGCACATTAATGCAATATCATATTTGAACAACAAAACTGTTTACAAAAAGTCTACATATGCGTGCGTGTTGTCTTTTCATCACGCAGCGCGCACACTTGGGCCGCAATGGAGAGAAAGGAAACCATAGCAAGACAATCTTTAAAATAATGATTTCTATTAAAAATGTAAAAGGTTTTGTGATTATAATAATACAAGCGGGGCATTAAATAAATGCATATTTTCCGTGGAGCGAGCGATTTGAGGAAGTCTGCTATTTTATTTGATGGAAGACAAAAATATGATTGGAAAAAACAGCCTATGCCGGTTATTAAAAATAATCAGTCAATGTTTTCGATTTGTAATATAAATTAATTAGCCTATTTAAGTGGAAATAATTTAGGGCAGTCCTATTTATTTTATTCATTTTATTTAGTTTATTCTGTTCTTCTGTGCTAAACACTGCAGGTGCTTGAAGATGCTGTGTTGTATTGTTCTATTATTAATATGCTAGCATATAAAATAAATCAGTATTTTATGCAATGTTTAATGTGTCAGACACAAAATAGACATGTCAATTTGTTTAATATAAAATTAATAGTAATCTGACCAGTTAACCGTTAATAACCGATTAATAAGCGGCGGTTGTCGGTTAGCAAAATTAACCGAAATGAGCATACCTAGCGGTAACAGCTTACCTTGGTTCTGGCCGGCGGGAGTTCCCTCCTAACACTTCCCGCCCGTCACAGCGTCTAACAAAGGGGCGGGGTGCGTGGTGACGTCACCGGCAACCCCGCACCCTTGGTTTACACGGCAGGCGGGGAATGCCAGTGATCGCTGTGTACGGATAGAATCAGCGGAGCGGGGAGCGCTCTCTCTCCCCGCTCAGCTGATTCTGTCAGTGTACATCGGTTGGCGCGGGCCACGAAATATTGCACTGAGGGCCGCAAATGGCCCGCGGGCCGCGAGTTTGAGACCCCTGCCATAGACCATCTAAAACCTAGTCTTAAGTCCAACACGAAGCACATTGGTTGTGTGCCTATGCAACATGCAACATTTTAGAGTCCAAACTCTAAAAGCATTGCTTAAAAAACACAGGATGTACAGCACAAATATATTTACATATGAAATATAAATTACATATAAATTAAAGGATTAAAATATTATACAAAGTCAGTTTATTCATGACAATTTGCAATTGTATAATTTTATTATTATTATTATTAACAGTATTGTTTATTATATGCATATTATACTTGTTTTAAAACAAACAAGCTTAAGTTTGTCCACCTGATGGGTTTTAAAGACTTATGCATCATCATATGTGGCATAAAGAATAGGACATGTTTGAATATAACTCAGTTTTTTGACCATGCTACGTTATTATTGTTCATTTATTCATTTACCGGAAATTAGAACTTAATTTAGAAATAGTTTTTAAATGATTCTATGCGCTTAACAAACAAAATGAAACATGTAGGCCAGGGGTGTCCAAACTACGGCCCGCGGGCCATCTGCGGTCCGCAATCAGTTTTGTGGCGGCCCGCAAGGCTTTTTATAAATATTAATAGAATCTGGCCCGCTATACAAAAATGAACGTAATTCAATAAATAACCACCAGGTGTCGCTATTACATGCCTTCAATTAGGCAGCACTTCTTGTTATGAAGTAAAACTAACCGACTAAACTGAAGGAAACATAATTGATAATCACGTTTTGGCGAGCCATGGCACAACCAAGAAAAAGGAAAATCAACAGTGAGAGCAGGAACTTTCAGTCACGTTGGGGCAAAGAATTTTTCTTTACAGAGGTCAGCAGGAAATGTATCTGTTTAATTTGCCAGGAATCAGTTGCAGTAATGAAGGAATATAATATTAAAAGACATTATGAAACAAAGCATCAGGCCTTCAGCTCTTACACTTGTGCCGAACGAGATCAAAAAGTAAAACAAATAGCAGCTGCTCTATCAGCTCAACAACAGCAGTTTTTTTGTGCTATTAAAGTGCAAAAAAATTCTACACTGCACTGCAAAAAATGTTTTTTTTTGGTCTTGTTTCAAGTCCAAATTGCAACTGTAATTTGCCCAGAGAAGATTCAAGTTTGTTTTTAAACTTAAACTTAAGTCTTTCTAGAAACACAGTTGGATGACCGAAATAAAATATTTTTTTATGATAATATACACACACATCTATCCATCCATATATATATATATATATATATATATATATATATATATATATATATATATATATATATATACCTCCTAGTAATACATTACAATACCATAACTGAGAAGTCATATAAGCATGAATAAGCTATACATTAAAAATTGACATTAGACATTTACTGTATGCAATTCCATCCAACAAATTTTAGTTGTTGAAGATTTTGTTTAAATTTTTGTGAAGTTCATGTTACTTTTAATTTTCACGTCTGCTTTCCTGGATTCATTTGATGAAGTTTTTCTTTTGTAGGTGAGGGTCTGCAGTGGCTTTCTCAGACATTTGGACTGTGTGGTCCTTTAAAGTCTCAAGAGGATGTGTTCGGCTTTAAGGCTTGGCTGCAGGAAACCTGGGTGAACTTGGCCATGGTGGATTATCCATATGAAGCCGACTTCCTTCAGCCACTGCCAGCCTGGCCTGTTAAGGTATCCTAAATTAAGTTTCTCTTGATGATCACACTGTGGTGCACGCTTTGTGATAGAGCTGCACAATGAATTAAAAAAAAGATTGCGATCTCAATTCGACTCTGTTCAGGAGAGAAGCATAAAGGCGGCTGCACAAGTTTTTTCATTGTGTCACATATATTGCTCAGTGAAATGGACACCTGCAAATGATGTTAAAAGAGTCACATACTGTATTTATAATTCACCTAAAAATGTAATCTTTATGTAGTCTTCATATAATGCTGTATTTGCGGCCGGCAAATCACAGGTGGTGTGAGCTGCAGACCGTGAGCTGTTACCACAGAGAGGGCGGGCACCTGCTCTTCTTAATGATAGACATGCGCGCGCCTACTTTAGTAAACAGAACCTGCAAAGGCTGTGAATACCATGTAATAAAGTTGTAAATAATATTCAGTTCGTGGCACAGAGTGATCATTTAAATAATCATATCGCATTTTAGAGTTATTGCGACAAGCATTCGATGGTTTGTTTCACAGCAAACACACAGTTGTGCATAAAAAAAAATGTTTACAGTGTCAGTATACTGTAGCCTATATAATGTGGATTTTACCAGTGAAAAAAATGGTCTAATAATGTTGTCAATGACAGATTGCAAGCAAATATCTCAAACATAATTCAACATCAGAATTATTATAGTAGAATTAAGTAGAATGAAGTAGAATATAATTATTTATAGAAACCAGTAGACCTACACATTATATTATTATTGTTGTTTTACCATATGTTTAAGAAAAAAAACAATAATAATTGGCAACTCATATTCGTGAGAAATTTGTGATCTTTATTTTAAGCAAAAAAATCGCGATTCAAATTTTAGCCAGAATCGTGTAGCTCTACTTTGTAAAATGCTGGAGATAAAATGCAAAGATCTTATGAAAAATCAATAGTTTCTGCCATATTAATGTACAGTTGTTTCCTACCATCGTGTTATTGCCTTTTTGTATTTTATTTATTTATTTAATTATTTATTTAATTGTTTATTTATCTATATACATGTCACAATGGTAAAATAATGTAAAGTACAAATCAAGACAAATGTTTTGGGCTACAAGTTTTTTAAAACATTGCTTTTGAACGTGAAAAAACTTCCTGGTTAATATGGAGTTACAAAAGTATCAAAAGCAATTGTTAAATGCAAATGACACAATCTACACATGCTTAGCTAAATTCACAAGCGTAAAACCAAATTCAAATGCTCAAAATGTTCAAATACCTTCACCGGCCACCTGTCCATCTGCTCGTTAATGCAAAATTTCAATTCAGCCAATCACATGGCAGCAACTTGATGCATTCAGGCATACATGATCAAGATGATATGCTGCAGTTCCAATGGGGAAGAAAGGTAGTTTAAGTGACTTTAAATGTGGCCTAGTTATTGGTGCCAGATGGGCTGGTCTGAGTATTTCAGAAACTGCTGATCTACAGGGGTTTTCACGCACAACCATCTCTAGTGTTTACATAGAATGGTCCTAAAAAGAGAAAATATCGAGCGAGTGGCAGTTCTGTGGGCACAAATGCCATGTTGATGCCTGAGGTCAGAGGAGCATGGCCAGACTGGTTTCAGCTGAAAGAAAGACAACAGTAACTCAAATAACCACTCGTTACAACCGAGGTATACTGAAGAGCATCTCTGAATGCACAACATGTTCTGCCTTGAGGCGGATGGCCTACAGCAGCAAAAGACCACATCAGGTGACACTCCTGTCAGCCAAGAACAGGAACCTGAGACTACAATTCACAGGCTCAGGCTTAGGCTCACCACAATTGGACAATAAAAGATTGAAAAAAGTTGCCTGGTCTGTTGTGTCTCAATTTCTGCTGCAACATTCGCATTGTCACATATATTTTTTTTCAAGAAACTCATTTATATGATCTTTTAGCAAATTATTGAATGACTGATGTATTAAAACGCCATCTAGGGGCCTTGGTCTTAATGTTGGAAAGGTGAACATTACATAATACTGCAGAATGATCGGACAATAAAATTGGTGATATAGAGATGCAAGAGTTAATTAAAATTAGAAAGAAACATGTCATCTATCCTAGAGAAAGTCTTATGTCTATTAGAAAAAAACAGAAAGTCCTTAGAAGTAGTATTTTAGATTCTCCAAATATCACATTAAGTTTAGTGATGAATTTATTTTGTAGCTTAGAGGATGTGTTAACTGTAGTATCAAGGTGTGATTTATCCAGTGCAGGATTTAAAACAGAATTAAAATCACCACCCATCACTTAAGGACAATCAATCTGCTCAAGTAATATAATGGAAATATGTGTGAAAAATGTATTGTCTGCTTCATTGGGGCCATAAATGGAGACCAGTGTTAATCTGTCATTATGTATTTTGCAGTGTATAAAGACAAATCTACCTTTCACATAATTTCCAGTAAGATTAATAGTTAACTAACTTCCTATTAATTAGATGAGCACCTCCTTAGTTTTATTATGAGCAAAAGAGAAGGAGAACAGAAGAATTTAGGCCATTCACATATAATGATCAAATGTTTTGAACATGCATTATGATCTTGCAATACCAGCAGTCTGTTTAACTGAAGCATTGCCTTATTTCTAGTGACATGTAAACAGTAGTATGTATCGTAGATACTAGCCCAGCAAGATGCATAATTCTTTTAAAATAAAACCAAGATTAATAAAATTATTGGCGTCCATTGAAGGACATAGAATAAACAAAAACAAAAAAAAGTAAAAACACAAATAATTATAAACAAAACAGACCACACAATACTGTGAGTGTAGGTCTGCATGAACAACAGAAACAAATGTTAATGAATGACCAATCCACTTCAATGCAATAGATGCTCACTATTAGCTTGAAAATAATAATAATAATAATAATGATGATGATGACGATAATTATTATTATTATTAATATTATTATTATTATTATTATTATTATTATTATATCAAACAAAAATAAAAATTAAAACATTACTATTCACCAGTCAGCAGATGAGCATACAGTACAGGAAAAAGATCTCAAAAAGAAATTAACAAGTGTCCAATGGCACATTGTTATTATCCTCTTCACTGTAGTTACGATGATCACCACTGTCCTCCTGTTTTGATTTTGTTTGTTAAGCTGAGATGGAGACAGTAGCTGTTGCCTTCCCCTTCGCTTTGTAGCTCTGCAGAGTATGTCTTCAATGGCAGTAAAGTAACAAAATCATCCATCTTTTGATGAGAGTCGAACATCATATGCTCAGCCTTGTGTCGTAGCCTAATTACCGCAGGATAGTTAAGCAAGGGCTGGAGACTTAAGTGCTGTCATCATCTTCAAGACTAAATTAAAAATCTTTCTCTTGGTAGTCATGGCTGGACTGAAGTCAGGAAAAAAACAGTAGTACTTAGATGAAGTATTTTGGATTCTCCAAAGATCAGTCACATTAAGTTTAGTGATAAATTTATACAGTAGCTTAGAGGATGTGCTAACTGTAGTATTAGGGTAAAATTTTAACAAGAGGTTGTGCGACCGATCAGAATTTTTCCTTCTCTCATACACTCAATAGGCCCAGTCGATCTCAATGTCATGGCCTTTCAGTGAAGGAATTCATATGGGAAGATTACCCAAATCCATCGTTCTAACGAACATTCGTAAACTGCATCGCAAATTTCTACGCTTGCAACTAGACCTCTAGAGCTGTATTTAGAAGCATAGTTTCAGGTTGTGTTATATTCCCCATTATCCCCTCTATGCTCTTATTGTCCCCATCTCGGGTTGCATGGAGAAAGCTACTATTCACACTGTGGCGTTGGTTGACTCAGGAGCTGCTGGTAATTTCATGGATGAGACATTTGCCCGTAGAAACGCTATCCCACTAACCTCCTGTGATTTTTCCCCCTTAGCAATCATGGCAGTAGACGGATGCCCCCTAGGGGATGGAAATGTCACTCACCATACTACTCATCTGTCAGTTCAAACAGGCTCGCTTCACAAGGAAGTAATGGAGTTTCTGATCACTAAGTCTCCTCAACATCCCATCATCCTCGGATGGCCGTGGCTTCAGACTCATAACCTCCTCATCTCCTGGAAAACTGGTGAGATCTCAAAGTGGAGTGAATCTTGTCTAAAAAAATTGTATATGTTCTGTCACCCCTGTTCAGCTCAATACCATTGCAAAGTTGAAAACCCTGAAAGTTCCATGATCCCTGAAGAATACAAAGATTTGTCTGAAGCATTCAGCAAGAAAAAAGCCACGAAACTCCCACCTCACCGTGAGTATGACTGCGCTATTGAATTGTTGCCTGGTACCACGTGCCTGGTGCCTGGTTTCTTCTTTGTTGAGAAAAAGGATGGAAGCCTGCGCCTCTGCATTGACTATAGAGGTTTGAATGAAATTACTGTGAAGTAATTCTTCTCAACGACCACCGGCCACTATGAATATCGGGTGATGCCCTTAGGCCTGGCAAACAGTCCTTCAGTCTTCCAAACATTCATTAATGAGGTTTTTCGTGACACGCTGAACCAATGGGTATTTGTCTATATTGATGACATTCTCGTTTATTCAGAGATGCTTGATGACCATATTCAGCATGTACGAGCTGTACTAAAGAGACTTATTGAACATCAGCTTTACGCCAAACTGTCCAAGTGTGAATTTCACCAAACCTGCACCTCTTTCCTGGGTTACGTCATCAGTGCAGAAGGAGTCGCCATGAACGAAGATAAGGTGAATGCTGTGTTGAATTGGCCAAAACCTAATACTGTGAAGGAAATGCAACGTTTTCTGGGGTTTGCTAACTTTTACCACCGATTCATACGAAACTTCAGCTCTGTAGCCGCTCCCCTTACGTCAATGGTGAAATCTGGAAATCCCAAGCTCAAGTGTAACCCAGACGCTACCCAAGCCTTCAACCATCTCAAAGCCCGATTCTCCTCAGCCCCTATTCTCTGTCACCCAAATCCCAAGTTACCCTTCATTCTCAAAATTGAAGCATCTAAT